TATATATAAAATGAGAATACACACACATACATTATATACTCCACTATGTTATAAGGTTAACATAAAAAAACGCAGAATTTTAATGTAAATCTTATTTACAAATATTCTCAAACTATTTAAATATCTCCACGCGGTATCGAGGAAGCTGCGCGATCTCGTCGCCGAATCGATATTCGATTGTTTACGTCAATCGCTAAAGCTTTTATGTACGTTTACTGTATTCGCGGAATACGTACACTTTGTACAAGTTCTGACGAGCCTTAAATAAAGGTCAATGAAATATCGTTCTCCCACTTATTGTCTAATAGAAATGAAAATTTTTGTATGTAAAAAACTATTATCTTTTTTTAGAATATTCTCTGCACATTTTGCGCATGTTACTTTTCAATTTATATTTCTTACTTTGCATATTAAATCATTATCATAACGATATTTCATTTTCTAACAGAATTAATTTTATTGTATACAAAAATAATTTTCTCATGAATTTATATTATTTATGTAGGCATATTTATATTTTTCTTTTTAATAATTATAAATTTATATAATCATGTATAATCAAAAATTGTTATTCTTAAAGTTTCGCTATCCGGTAATGCATTAAATGCAATGAAAAACATCTACTACAATCAATTTTTTATTATAAATCATTCCTTATTTTTCATTTATATTATTATATTCTCTTATATGTAAAACAATTTTTTTTTATTACAGAAATTCATGTTTTAGAATATAGTTTTAATATCACAGAAAAACCATTGTTGTGCCTCTAGCCGCTACATATATACATATATAATATATAATAAAATATTAATATATATACATTTTCTATTTCTGTTATATTTTAATTGGTTTATTTCTGTATTATTTATCCTATATGTATGTATTTCATTTGTAATTCCATCTTCAGGAATATTTTCTAATTCAGCTGTCCCTCTGATGTTAATAATTTTAAAACATTCTTCAAAATTTGAAAAAATGTTATTTTAGGACGAGGACCTCCTCCCGTTTCTTGCATATAGCTTCGCATGCTTTTTTCAAAATATATCCTTTTGTCTTGCCATGTCTACAAAATAATAGTCTTATCATGCAACGGTTTATCAAGATTATCAATATTAATAATAATAATTTATATAATTCTTTATTTTATACTAAAACTACATATTGTGTATATTACCTGCACTTATGCCCGTATCAGACTACGCATTGAAAATTGAAGATTAAAAATTGGAATTTGATCAATCAGGATAAAAGGAACTAAAATTTCCTTGTCCTGATTGGTCAAATTTCAATCTCAATGCATAGTCTGATACGGACTTTAGTGCCGGTCTATAATAGGTGATTTAAGCCCTAACCCTTAGTGCCGGTCTACAATAGATATCGGAACGCAGCCTATGTAACATTTTCCCTAGGGCGGAAACGTGAAAATTGAAAAAATATTAGCATTGAAATCAATGGCAAAATTTTTCATTTTTCACTTTTCCGCCTTAGGGGAAAAGTTACATGATCGATACCCTTATCTAGAAGTGAAGAAACCAGGCATTTGTCTTTTTTAAATTTTGCTGCTTTGCTATTCGTTTAATTGAACTTCAAGCGACGAAGAGAAATATAGTGGAATTTATTTTACATCATCCAGTAACAAATTTTTAACCAATAGCCAATAGCAATGAATTGCTGTGGTAGCACGCTGCGCATGAAATGGTACTTTTAGCACTAAGGCTTAGAGCTTAAATCACTATTGCAGACCGGCACTTATGTGATCTATATGATCGCGTATCGCGATCTTTCTTTTCGCGTAATGAAAAATGAGTAATGAAAAAGTTCATGCAGAAAAGTTTCACGTGAAATGTGAAATTACGTGATCGACCCCCAGGTCCAAGGTCCAGGCCTCAGATTGCGATCAGCTCTATAACGTGTGTAACTGTTTTCTGCACAAATCGACACTGGTCTAGTTTCCACCGAAGTATTAATTCGCATTTAGTGTTGATGTTCGTAACAGTTACCGTTTGTTCGTATTAATTATCAAAATGGAAAATAAACGAGAAATTTGTCAAGGATTATGTTTATTTACATTCACAAGCAAATGTTAAGCTGGCTCTATTGAAATATCAATCTTCCTCGCTTCTATTCTACTTCCAGTGGAAACAGTATGTTAAATTCGATGCGCACCGAAACAGAATCGGATTTACGACTTCGGTGGAAACTAGATCATTGATTGATGGCAGAGAAATGATCATTTCAGCGTAATGATCGTCTCGATATGAGAAATCACATAAAATGGAGGATGACATTGATATTTATGCAGATTTACCGAGTTTCAATTTGAATCTTGATAAAAATGTGAGAATCCTTTACGGTAATGTTGACCTCGATTAGCATGATTTCCTTTTTATTATATATATACACACACATGCACATAATATATATTAGTTAATATTTGCATTGAAAGAGTAAAATTAACCCTTGGTTAAATTTGAACCAAAGAAATTATTCGAGTATATATAATTGTACTACTATAATCTATAACATAATGTGTTTTTCCTGCCATTGAGATGTACTTGTATTTTAGTATCTTTAGGGCTGTTATTTACTAAAAGTTGAACAAAGATAAAACAATGCACACTCATGTGCACATGGGTGATGTTTCCGAACGCAGTCTAGGATAATTGCGATTATGTTGATTTTATTCTTTGTATATAATCACGTTTATTACATTCATGTAGTATATCGTTTTTCTACTACACAAATGGAACATTTTATCTTTCCACTCATTGATATCTCATTTAAAATAGCTGTTTTTTCGTAATATTGTTACATAGAGAATGTACATTTTTTAAATTTATATAGAAACTTGTTTTTTCTTGCATTGAAGACTAACGATTCTGGAAGTAAATAATATTGAAGTTATACTGGCGTCTTATACAGTTTATGTGATGATAAATCTTGCGGAATCTAGCTTTGATGTAAAGATGTTCAACAAATTACAGCTGATTATATACATCTTCATAGATTTTTATATACTTATATATTTAAATAAAAAATTATATAGATCTATATATTCTATTAGAATAGTATAAAAATTTTAGAATAATACTGGATTACAAAAATAATTTTCATTATATAACATACAATATAAAATCAAATAATAAGTTGATGTTTTTGAATGTCTGTAAAGGATCAGCTTTGTAATTGTGAGAAGTTAAAGAAAGAACTTGGTTCACTCGAGAATAAACTCGAAAATATTCAGAAGATCAAAGAGAAGTTGGAGAAAAATCTGTCCTCTTTATTGAAAACTGCAAAGGCTGAGATTGCACGGAAGGACAAGATGATAAGTGATCTCAGAAAACGGTACAATGAATGCTGTACAAAAACTGTGATGTTGTAAAATTTCTTTCTAATGTCATCATAATGATTACAGATTGGACGATGTAACCTTCAGAAGAAATAACAAGGGCGAATCTTGGGATTTTTCTGCTCATAGATCATTGTATCAACAACATACAACGATCGAAAAATATGACAACGCTCCTTTAATGCATTTGCAAGAGGATGAAACTATATTGCATGAAACTGAATATCATCGCAACGAACATAAAAATAAAAAGCCACAATATAATGGCCAATTGCCCACAGTATTTGCAGAGAGATTACATAAAAGAATTATAAAAGATGAGAAAGAAGATGTAAAGACGCAAAGAACGTCATGGAAGCTTGATATAGAAACTAATTCAAAAGGGATATCTGAAGAAAACATTGTGGAAAGTGATAAAGAGAATGGATCTCAATCTAGTATGAATAATAACGATAATGAATCTAATACTATCACACGACACTCTCTCTCTGATTCAGGTAACATATGTATATTATATAAGGTTAATAAAATTGTGATAAATGAATGAAACAATTTTCAAACTCTATATAATTATTTATATAAGATAAATGTAATATAAGAATTTCTTGATATATATGTGCTTCAAAATCAAAATATATATTGTACTTTTTAATTATATTGTTCTTAATATTTGTATTTTAAAAAAGATGCTTAAATTTTTGGGACAGCCTAATCAAATAAAAATAGATTTTTCTTTTATTCTTAAAAATATAATTCAATAGAGTGCAATTGTTTACAGAAAATCCATGCAGAAAGAATTCGGGAAAGAGGATGAATGAAGAAGACGGTACATGTGGGAATAAGCGTTTAAAGATAGACGATGACGAAGGCAAGACCACGACTGATAAAACTGATTACACTGTGCGGTATAAATTGCAAGACAATCTTGTGCAATATGAGATGAAAGATAATCTTGCAAAGTTCGAGGATCGACTAAATGCCGCCCATTCTCTTAAAGAGGAAAAAATTTTATTCGACGAAAGTAGAACCGTTTCGGAATATCAAGACACGGCAAAACAGAGTCGAGATTGCATAAATGATTGGAAAGGGGAAGAGAAAAGTAATTCTCGGATTGCTTCGAATCGCGTCCTGGATGAGCCTTGTAATGGCTACAAGAAGAGCGGCTATAGATATAATCCGTCGAGAAGAAGTAGTTATTCTAGAAACAGGAGTGACTACGACAGCTCGAGCAGCCACCGTTTACGAGAAAGATCAAATAGAACGTATAGAAATAATAGGAAATACGATGATTATAAATACGACAATCAGTATAGAACAAAAAGAGACTACAGATTAAAGAGAGACTATGAGAGCATGGAAAATGAGAGTAAAACGATACATAGGAGTAGAGAACATGGTGATGTGGCATGGGACAAATCCAGACACTCGTCGAGCGACGTCGAAAACAAGGAAGGAAATAGTTCGTACAAGAATAAGAGGTGCGAGAATCGCAGAATAGAGGAGACAGCAGCAAATATTTTGCACAACAAAAGGTTGCATGAAAGGGATAAAGCTGCGGTGGATATGAATTCTCGGGCGTCTTCTGGTCGCACAATTGTAAATAATATAGTGAATCACAGAGCTAAAAAGATCACTGAACAAGATAAGGCAAAGAACGAATCAAATATTAAACCTATAAATTTGATAGATAGTACGTCGACATATGTCGTGACGAAGGACTCGAATAATCTGGAGGAAGGCGAAATTGTAGATAGTCCCGAGAAGAAAATTGATTCGGAGAAGATCTTCAAAGATCATAAAGTGATTGAAAATGATGTAAAAATTGTTCTAATCGAAAATAAACATAAAGACGTCCCTGTGATTGCATCCATAATAGATGACAAATCGATATCTTTTCACAACAATGTAATTACTGCAAAGCAGTTAGATAACTTGACGGATATTAGTACAAAAGAAATTGAAACAGCATCGTGTCTTGTGCAAACAGCTTTGAAAGGCCCTAGAGAGATAGCGGAATTAAATTTCTCTGGCAAAAATGATGCGGTAGTAGACGAGGTGCGGAGTCGTAACAATGTCGAACATATATATAAATCTCAATGTAATGAGGATTTAACGGTTTTAACTACTTGTACTATCGGAACGATTGAACAGGTGTGCGAGTCTCAATATAATGAGGATTTAACGGATTTGACTTCTTATACTATTGGAACAATTAATCAGGTGTGCGATAGCAATGTTGACGATGATGGTAAAAGTCGCGCCGAAGAAGAATCGAAAATCTTTGTCACCGAAATACCTATTAAAATCGAAAAAATGATTGATTCTAACACCAAAAGTGCTACCGAAGTCAGAATAGACGATCCTAAAATTGAAAGTGCCATTAACAAAGACAAAGTAAGTAATTGTAATACCGAAAGTCCTGTTATAATTGCAGAGGCGAATAATAGCGATAATAGTACTCGCAAAATTGATGATGAATTAAAAAGTTCCGCCACTGAGATTGCCGAAAAAGTCGAGACTGTATTTAATTGTGATATCGAGAATAGAGACGTAAGTCAAGTATCAATCGGAAGTGGGACTTCTCGATGGATATCAGGCAAAAGCAACGTCGAGATGTCGAGCCACTTGTGTCTCAACGACCATAATTACGTTCAGAATCCTCCTCCTGTCAACGTCTCCGATCTCAACGCTATCCGAGAGTCACCCGTGAATTTAGAATATTGCGAAACTGTGCCAGAAGCAGCAACGTTAAAAGAAACAAAAGCGAAAGAAAAGATGGATGTTTCGGTCGATGTCAAGAAGACGATGTCGTCTATAGTGAAGAACAAGAAGAATCAACAGAGCAAAGGGATAGTGATTTCGCGTCGACGAAGAGCCGTGACGTTGAGCGACAGTAATGCGTCTATGACTGTCCTGATAAACACAAAAACGTCCTCTAACGTTATTAGCAATTGTAGCAACGAGTCCGTCTTGAAGCCGCGGGCCTGTAAAGCATCGCGCACATGTAAATAATCGTAATTGTAAGATTCCTATGCTTATATAGAGTGTTAATAAAATTTTGAATATATAAGAATATAAGTCTCAAGTAGGATCATGCAAGGAAACAGTATGACATTTTTCACAATAGTTTCTATCTTTAATCTTTTAGCTATGTAATCGTTCAATGTTTTGGCACGAGATGCAGGCACAAGATTAATGCAATTTGATGAGATGGAATAACGGGTCGTACAGATAAAAGTGAAGCCGGTGCTCTTGAGTCCCCCTGTGAGTAATCTTTTGTTTTTATTTCGAAACATCTGTTATTTGAAACCCCGCGCCGAGGGAAGGGATTCACAATCCAGTGTAACTCGAGTCATCCATTCGAAATTCACCGAGTCGTTAGGAACAGCGATGGGAGAAGGAGGGAGCATCCTATATCGATTAGGGGAAGAGAAGCGGCGGCGTCCATGTATCGATCAGAAAATAGCCGGCGCGGTGACGCCGATGTACGCGCGCGTCGGCCGTTGACGTCATCGTCGGGGGGCATCTGCGGCGTCAGCCACAGAGGACGTCGGGACGACCCGCGCCATGGATGTTGCTATCGCCGTCGCCGTCGTCACCGTCGCTGCCGCCTTCTAACAAACGATTCCGAGGAACGTACTTCATTTCTTGCGGGCATGTGTTCCTAGACTGTACTCTCTCCCTCCCCCCCCCCCCCCCTCTCATTGTCTCTCTCTCTCTCTCTCTGTCTCTGTCTCTCTCTCTTTCTTTCCGCCTCGACGACGAGGTGCGATCTCGCGGGAACAAGATCCGTGCTTAATCACGGCTGTCCGCGCCGCGTTCGCTTCCGGTAATCGATCGGCGGCACTCGCGTACACACCGGGGCCATCAAGATGGGCTCTATAGTGCTCAAATCGCTCTCGGTGCTGCTCGGAATATTCTTCGTCTTCGTCGGCACCATGAAGCTCACGTCGCACATCAGCAAAGACCTGCACAAGGACTTGGTAAGTCTGGAGACTGATCCTCCTCGCTCGTTCAACGCTTCGATAAGACGCACCATGATGATGAATGGTGCGACCATTGTTTTGGTAATTTAAAAGTCGATAAAAAATGCGATGTTTATTGTTAAACTCCTATCAGTTGTTCGAGTTCGAGCTAGCGAAATTTATTGATGAATCCCGATAAAGCGATACGCGTGAGATTGATAAGATCAATGTTCGCTGTGCGATTCATTAAAATTGACAGTTAGTTAATCAAATGATGTTACATTTAACAAAATTGAAATTGATCGATGATAAATATTTGGTGAATCAAAAAAGGAGTTAGTCTTGTTAAATATAATCTTAATATAATCCTAAATATAGTCTTTAAATATAATGATATCTCATGTCAGTCATTGTTTTGTACATGCTAAGTTAATGCTTTAATTAGCAAAAATGATAGAGTGAATTTGACAGATCTCAAAATTAATAATCATACTCTCAAATGTTCATTTGATGATCTGTGATTGTCAAATTGACGACGACCGAATTTGATTCGTTCGTAATAAGCTGCACAAATGTAACGCTCGATTAGTTAATTATTAACATTAATCGAGTAATTAAAATAATTATATAAATAATGGAAAAAATATTTGATTATATATCTCTTTTGGATTGACAGACTGGACGCCATTTGTCACTTGTATATATTCCCTGTCTCGCTTTCGCTTATGTAATTTCGCGGGACGTCGACGTATATACATCGGAGTCAGTACGAAAGTGGATACACACACACGCCGCGTTTATGCATACATATATATCCCGTCTGTTACACGGGAGAGCCCGGCTTGATGTTATGTAACATTATGTGCTTATGGCAACATTTTTCCCCTTGCCAACTTAGAGCAACCCACGTTCCCACGATGTTCATTTCCGCGTTTTTTAACGTCGCAAAGATAAAAAATCCAACGACGACGACAAATATGGAGTTTGAGCGAAAGAAGGTAATTAATTAAGAAGATAGTTAATCTTTTCATGAAACGTCGATATTTAAATGTGTGAAATTTGAATTGGCAAATTATTCTGATCTTTTGCAAGCTCATGGAACGTCATCTATCTTCTATCCTATGAGAGTTTTGCCCGTGAATTGTAGAATAATTTATTTTAATTAATATTCTTTTTTTTTGAGAGAGGGAGTTAATAAAGTTACTTTATATTTTGATTTTTAGCGAGAATTTGTTTTAATTAGATATTATTAATAGGAAGCACGCGCATGCGCGGTTCCCTTTTGAACTTCTCAATCTTAATCATCCTATACATATACACATTTATGTTTAAATTTAAAAATAGATACTTCTATATCTTCTTTATAATAAAAAATATATTCTTGTTTTCTATCATATATAAATATGTATATTGTGTATAAAAACAAAATTAAGAAAAGCATTATAAAATTTAAACGTATTAGAGAGAGAGAGAGAAATAATAAAATTAGATTTATCGCATTTAAAAAATAAAAATACTCAAACAGATTTGAATGGACTAACAGAATTCAGGTACTGTTTTAAAAATAAATTTTGCCATATACGAAAAAATTTAAAAGAAATTCGGTATACAAGAATAAGATTTATATTAGAAATTGTATAGGTAATTAGCATACAATCGAGATTAAACTAACGCTGTATTTTTTTATTGAATATTTTGATACTCTTTAGAAAAATGCGACAAAATGACTGCTAAATCTGTAATTGATATTCTGCAGATTAGCATATTGAACTTATTCTGATTTATTTTGCACCTGATTTATCATATTCTATTGGTAATTATTTTTTACCAACACATTATTCTAAAGCATAATTGACATAATTGTGACAAAATCAAAGAAAATACTCTAATTAAAATTAATTGTATAAAAATAAAACGAGAAAACATATATATGCGATCTGTAACATGAACGAATTAATGCAATGCCAAACATTTGATTGTGGTATCAGCCAACTATGACAGCCGCAATGAAAGGATCTCAAGGCTATCAGAAAAAATATATCTGAAATCTCACCGGTTATAAAACGCATGCCGTATTGCTTAATTCGTTATAGACGATAAAAATATACACGCACTTAATAATGATATATAGGTGCATACTAAAATACATGTGCGTATCCCGATTAGACAGCAGCGAACTTTCTCTTATCTCGCGAATTTAAAATATTTAAATGACTGATAAATTATTAATATACAGGGTGCCCCGCAATGACCGCCCACTAAGTACATAGCGTTATTCCTTACCAAAAACTGAGACGAAAAGTCCTGAGCCATTTTTTTTTATAACGCTTGGTCACCCTGTATATATGTGTGTGTGTGTGTGTATTTATGTGATAAATACAATGTGTTGTTATTGTTAAAATTTCGCCTCTCTGTTAAAACTTATAATATTATATATATAATCTTTTATATTATATTTTGTCATCTTTCTCTCGCGAACAGTTTTAAAATAAAACAAAGTACATATAATATAAAAGGCAGGTCATTCGGTGTGTCATTCCGCTATTTCGGTAACTCCGACATTACCCAACGAAAGTGATATTAAGGTAAACACTTGTACAGATTGCTTGGTCAAACGCCAATAAGCTTGCTGACTTGCTGGCGAATGATATTTATATACTTCGCATATTAGAACAAGTCGCATTTTCTTCAGATCCTCGTTGAATTGTCTGAGACTGCCAAGACGAGTTTTCTCGATTATTTTGCCACTACACATATGATATTATTATACTGAAATAAATATATAGCGTACGATAACGGAGACATTAAACAAGAACAATGAGATATTTTAATTAAATAATTTTTTTCTTAACGATGTATATATGTACTGTATTTTATATTAAAAATTTTTGACATTAAATATCTTGATAAGAGAGAGATATAAGTATACTTACTATACTTACTATACTTCAGAATTCAAATCTGTTAAAGATTCGTCTAAAGCTCATCTAAAGGATACAATTTGTCATTTATTTACATTTCCAAAGCGCAGCTTGTCACGTTTCGATTTTCTTAAAGAAAAAATTATTTGAGCTTTCGACAGAAAATATCGCGACATGCATTAAATTAGATTACTCTGTGTAATCCTGGGTATAACAACTATCTTTATATATGTATATAAGCGGTTTATTTTTTATTTTCACAATCGAGTTTTAATAATTTCCTTTCTTGTTTCACAGAGAAAAGAGTATGTCAAATACGCAAAAGTTTTCCCGCTCTCGGGGACGCTCGACTTCAAAGTGCCCAGCAAATGGTACCGAAGAGTCGTTGGCTCGCTCGAGATTATCTGCGGCCTCGCCATGGCGATTATTCCAAGTCGTAGGTGCAAAGAATCAACCATTCCATTCTTCGACTGTAATACTCTCTCTTTGCAGACGCTCGTCTCATCAGATTATCTTTTTCACGGAGATTTTTTATTGTCAATTCTTGATCATTGAATCTGTATCACATATATACATTTATTATCGCAAATCTTCCTTTTGCTCGGCGCCGATCACTGATTACATACGAATCGTTGAATTTGGATGCCAACCCTTTTTTTACAGAGATTCATCAGATAGACATAGATTTCGTTTCTCTGAATTCTTTCTTGCTTCTCTCACTTTACTGCACGGATTTTTAACTCTACCGTAGATATTTCTCATATTTTACAAACGATATTGGGGAACCGTTTAAATAATTAATCGTATAAATTGTTTTCAGATAAAGTTAAGAACTTATCCAATACAGTACTGCTTCTTTTGATGCTGATGGCTGTGTACTCTCATTACATGGTCAACGATAAGTTCGAGAGGATTGCCCCGGCACTGGTGAGTAATCGATTGAATTTCACGAACCATAAACTGGTAAAAAGTAAAATGTGGTTTCAGGTATTCTTCTTTATGCTGACGGGGCGATTGGTAATCGACTGGCAGCTAAGACGAGAGGATACGCAATCAGTGACGGCAAACGGCGTCGATGATAAAGCTAAGAAGCAAGACTGAGCGGGATTACGATTGGAGAACGCGTCGTTTTCACGTTAATCCATTAGATTCTGCGATTTCATTTCTGAAACATCGTAAAGTTAGTATTTATTTATAAATCAAACTTTCTCTTTTGCTCCCATTTTTCCAAAAATGGAACCCTTTAAAAAACTCAAGGCACCGTTTATTCAATATCTTTTATTTTTTATCTCTTTCCTGATATTTATAAACTTGAAAGATATTCAACAAGAAACTATATCTATATAATATCTAGGAAGAAAAGAAGAAACGGTATTTTGGGATCATGTGGGTTAAATTAGTAAAAAGTATATGCTTTCAAAAGAGGAAGCGAGATGGGAAACGAATAATTTACGGTGATCATTTTTAATACGAATAGTGAAATGAATTTTCATTGCACTCTATATCTACTTGACGCACTATATTGCAATATGATTTACAGAATAAAAAGCGAGCATCGTTAAGTTTATAAACGCGATCAAATTTGCAATTAATTGCGAAATCGTGCAAAAAGAAATAATTTCTTAGCTTTATACCTTTCTTATCTCATGATGTAGATTATTTGATCTATACGGATTTATTTCGATATACGAACATAATTTAGTGATTAATTAAAATCTGTAATACAAAATTCGATTGTTAATATTAATAGTAATCGCAGTTCGATGAGAAATCTGTGAACGTTGTTTTCGCTAATCGATGTGATAGTGTTTTATCCCGCAACAATTTGATCCATTAAGACAAGACACTATTGCATCAATGTCGATAGTCGCACTAGCCATGGTTAAAGAAATTATCTCTCTCTATTTATATTACAGTTAGGACAATGATACGAAAAAAGCAAAGGGTCACCAGCGGAGATAGTTATCATCAATGTTAATTTTAAACTTGTGGTTAATTTATTCTGATTAATATTTTTTTCCATCTCTTGTCATCCCTTTCATAATTACGACATAATGATTGTCGTATCAAATACACACACATAGATGCACAATATACATATAATAACACTAATAATATAAGCAGCTATATAATATATACAATTAATATCAAAAATAAAGTTAAATTAGAAATATAATCCTTCTATATATATATAGACACGATATAAACAAGTATAATATAAGATTTTAGCTATGGTATAAACGGAGAAAGAAAATTTAATTTTTATCGCGCGTAATATTAATCGACATTGATGCGACCAGTCCCTCGGTGACATTAGCTTAAGCTCAATAATAACAGAAATAGACTCAGAGTACTAACGATATTAGGTGAGGAAACCAGCAAACAAGAGCTGAGGCGCGATAATTGATGCGTGAACTTTTTTGTTGTTTAATTTTAATAACAAGTATGCATTAAATATGTATGTTTCGGATCGTTTTTTTGGTCCATCCTTAGCATAGATAAAAATATATAAAAATTAAATTCGTATTTAAAACTTAACATGCACAATATTAATTGTTACAATCGAAATTGAAATCGATAATCAGGGATAAGACTCGTCGAAACCCGCGTAGAGTCTGTATTACATTTTAAATCACTGATGGATACACATGTGATGATGACGCATTTCGACGTTGTCCATTAATTTGTACAGACTTTACGCGTTTCGGTGAATCTTTCTCTCTGATTATCGATTTCAATTTAAATTTCCATTGTAACATATAATCTAATTATTGCATCTCGGTTCTTATTTGTCAGTTTCCTCAACTAGTATCATTAGCTTAAGCATGAGGTACTAACTGCCACTTGAATGAATGTGTCCTTATATATGTCGTGCGAGAATGTGTGTATGGACATATAGAGAAAATGTTTCTTGGTAATCGATACACATATATATATTAGTGTTAATTTATTTCTTAAAAATTTCACGAGTGAGAAGTGTGATCGGACAATTTGATAAATAAAACCAAAATTAAAAGTGAGAAATCAGTGGATAGACTTCTCTGTAAGCATCATTCGATACCCACGTTCGTATTTTCACGCGAGGTAATACTTCGAGCTACGGTAATTATTTGTGGAATGTTTATGCACTTGGATATAAAATCAACATCTTTCTCTCTCTATAACAATTTCATAATAATTCTCATAAATTATTAATTTTGTTTTGGATTTTGAAAAGATAATCGTATATTATATTTTTGTTCAAAGCATAATTATATTAATGTCTGAATTTTTTCTTTTGTATATAAAATTGCAGTGAAACACCCATAACACATCGTTTAAATGTTGTATCGAGAAAGTATTATTGTTTAAATGTTAACATTTTTCGATATAATCACATTTTTATATCACGCAATGTTTAATAAAAACTAGGAAATGTTGAGAAAAGATCGATATTTGTGTATATGTATACATATTTTCGTTTTTTTATTTATTTCTTCTCATTGAGTATATATAAAAAAATATATTATGTACAAGAGATGTGTTAGATGTATACATCCCATGACACGAAATATAATAGCCACATTTTGCTTAAGAAAAATTATTAAATTCTAAAGTTTGCAGAAGTATAATAATATATTATTCCTCAAAAATCATATATCGAGTCTATTTTAAAACAATTCTGGTTAATTTTTATAATAGGATTTATGTTTTAACATATTAAGATTTTTATTTTTTTCTGACTAATTGATTTGTAGTATTTAGATATTCAATTTTTTTAGATTATTAGCGAATTAATAACATTTTTCTCTCATCTTTTTCTGTCTTCATTTTGATAAAGTTATCAAAAAATTATTTGAAGAACAGAGTAGAGTGATGCTGGAGTTTTTGTTAGAGAACATATTAAAGTTCTCAGGGCAAGTAGCTTTAATAAATATGATGAAACTACAATTCTATCTTATTTCGAACAACAACTAAAATCTAGAGACATAGAGTCTGTAACAACTTTCGTTTTTTAATTATATAAATGCAACACATATATTCAAGGCCAATTTGACTAGTTATTGTAAACTTGCCTCTATTTTCATCTTCTATTATCTGTATTCAAAAGTTGCATATGTATAAAAATTGTGAAATGTTAGTAAAATATTGTTTACTGACCATTACAGGAAACAAGCGACAAGTATAACGCAGTTAATTGCAAGTAAGCTGTTACCAAATATGTTATCTTTGCGCTTCCTTCGCCTATGCAGGTTCCTGACCAGTAGTTAAAAGATGCAAAGCCTTCCGAAGATTCATTACAGAAGTAGATACATCATCATAGTCTAATGCGCTACTCGCCCATTTCAAAAACTTTTGAGCCTTATTAATTTGCTCTATCGACAGATTAGCACCATCTGTAAGATTATATTTTGTTCAGAAATGGAATAATTATCTCATATTAAATTATTATATATTTTTGAAAAGATATTTGATTTAATTATATATTTATTCGTTTTCTTTCTTTTGTAAATAAATATATTTACATTATAGGACTTACTTTCTGTCTTATATGCAGTACTGTCCTCTGCATCAAATGACTGAGATCTTGTAGTTGGTGGATTTACAGGAATAGATGGAATACTTTGCGGAGCATTGTCCTTGGGACTTTCAGTTGCAGGATTTACATTCAAATCGGTATTATCTAATGATCATAAAGTATTTCTTAGAATCTAATAACTTGACAAGAGGATAAATAATCAACTTACCATCTTCATTCAATGCTTCAACAAAATCATTTTCTTCATCCTGTTCTTTCATTGGCCCTGGAACTGGAGTTTCTCCATTCATTAAGCAGTTATGGATATAAGATGCTTTCCATTGCGCATACTTTCGATTCTGTGCTGCTTCTACGCTCAGTTCTCCAAACAATGTCAATACATTGTACAGTGCCTGAGCAGTATAAAAGCTTTGCACTACATTGTTAGAAAAATTTGCAGCTCTATCGTTCTTATCGGCATACAAGAAGAGTTTCAAGGCCCAATTTTCCAAGTGTGCTTGAGCAGCTACATCATTAGTAATGGCCTCATTATCATGTAACTCCTTCTTTGTTTTCTCCAACCAGTCCATTAATTTCAGTAAAAAATTTGTTTCCTCTGATGTTTTAGTAGATAGCTTTAACCCAGTTTGAAGAGCATAAAGACGGCCTGTTTTGATGAGAAATTTTAATGTTTCTCTAACTTGTCATAATAAAGAAAGCAAGGAATGTTAAATTCCAATAAAAGATATTTTCTCACTATATTAAAAAACGCTGAAAATATTCTATGATACTGAAATATTTTCACATAGTTAAGGGATAGGAATGTACAATATATTATTATATACATACACCAATAACTGACGACACTGTCTCGTTGATCGTGCTTCGCTGCGATCGTTAAGTATTGTTGAATGCTTTTCAAGGGAGACGGAATTTTCGGCAAGTCGGGTCCTGTCAATGCCATTGGTATAAGAGAAACGTCAAAGATGTGCGTTAAAGTTTAATTTCCTCTTGACAGATTGCTTCTTGGGAATATATCTAGGAATATATTTTAATGTATGAATTTTAATTAACGAGATCCTTTTAATACTTGATTGAAGATTTTTTAATACTTGATTGAAGATAACTTATTATCTCGCTAAATTATAATTAATTCTCGTACAACATACGTCGTACTTTGAGATTTGTACAGTTGTATCTTGTATCAACGACGCAGTCACTAAAGTACGATTTGCATGATAGCGATAAAAAAGAAAGGATCATCTAGGCTATGTTCCAAAACGTACTCTCCGAGGAAAATTTTACACCAATGGCCGTTCCGAAACTTTTTTGAGCATCTCTGATTGGTTCCAGGCTGGCCATCGAGTAAAATTTTCCTCGGAGAGGAAATTTTACACCGTTTTGGAACTTAGCTCTAGTTCTTAAGCCCATATCAGACTACATCTAGTGCTGTGTTCCGATTCCCCACCCGGGTTCACCCGATATTATAGTATATGTCACGTATACTATAATATCGGGTGCACCCGGATGGGAAATCGGAACACAGCTTATGCCCGTATCAGACTACGCATTGAAGATTGAGATTCAAGATTCAAGATTGAAATTTGACCAATCAGAATAAAGAAATTTTAGTCTTTTTTGTTCTGATTACTTAAATTCCAATCTTTAATCTTCAATCTTCAATTTTCAATGCGTAGTCTGATACGGGCTTTAGGGTGCGTTCCAGGAGCACGCTTTTAGCGTTATGAGCATGCTTTGTCCTTGTTCAACTTTTCAAAATAACAAAAATAAAACGACGCTTTCAGTGCGTAAGCGTGCTTTTGGAACGCAGCCCTAATATTACATTATTCGATATTCGGTAATATTACATTTATCGACGACAAACTTTTTAAGCGCATTGATTAGCTAATTTTAAGAGACTCAAGAAATTTTCTATTTTGCAGCCAGTCAGTATGTTTAAAAAGTTTGTCGTACAACATATGTGATATTACCCTTAAAGCCCATATCAGATTACGCATTAAAAATTGAAGATTGAAGATTAAAGATTGGAATTTGACTAATCAGAACAAAAGGGATTAACATTTTTTTATTCTGATTGGTCAAATTTCAATCTTGAATCTTGAATCTCAATCTTCAATGCGTAGTCTGATACGGGCTTCATAGGTAGCCCAGTCTATTCCTCTGAAGAATGGAATGACTGTAATTGGCCAGCCAGAACTACGTATGTTATTAACAGCGTTTTCGAATGAACAGGTTAAGCCCGAATCACACTAGCGGCTCGCAGCTGCGATTGCGATTGCCTCAGCCAATCAGAAAGCACAAACCTGGGGGTCGATTGTGTATCTTTGAGACAAAGTGAAAATTACAAAAATGAACAGATTTACTAGATTTCGACAAATGACATCATAGATACTCTAGTGAATTTACTCACTTTTGTAATTTTCACATTGTTTGAAGATACACAATCAACCCCCTGCTACATTCGAAAAACCTGATATAAACCTGATTAATAGCGTTTTCGAATGTAGCAGGTTTAATCGTTCTCAGAACGATTAATGACGTCATTGCATCGTCTCTGCCAATAAAAGGCTTGAATTCATAGTAAAATATAGTGATTAATTAAACCGGGTTGGGTTAAGCCCGAATCACACTAGCGGCTCGCGGCTGCGATTGCCTCAGCCAATCAGAAAGCAGCAATTGCAAGTATGATTGGAGCGTAGCAAATCACAATCACAAACGCAATCGCAATCGCAGCCGCGAGCCGCTAGTGTGATTCGGGCTTTAGGGCCAATTTCACCAAGTCCGGTTCGATTAACCGACGGTTAAAATTAGCAGGGTGGCCAACAGAAAATAGAGGTGAAGGAAAACCGCTTGGTTTTCATTCTTATCATTTCAGTTGAAACCCTGCTAATTTTAATCGTCGGTTAATCTAACCGAGCTTGGTGAAATTGGCCCTTAACCCGTTCATTTGAAAACGCTATAAAGGCCGTATTACATTAAGGGTTGCGGGCTTGGTAGCGGTTGGGGTTACGGTTGTTAGTTGCGGATTAACCAAGCAGCCGGCAAGCTGTTTTGCTCTGATTGGTCAATCCGCAACGACTATCGCCTAGCATTGTGCGATAGTCCTTAAAGCTCATCGCCCATATCAGCTGATCAGCTGTTAATCATATGGCAAATGAAAAATGGCAAGTTAAAATTCGCCATGATTGACATGAAGACATAATACGTGAACATTAAACAAAAAATCAAAGTTTGCTATATGATGATGATGAATGCGGAAGATTCATAAACATTATCGCGTTATATTAAATTAATATTATTTTGTAATTATTTAAATGTTATTTGAGGGCCTAATGTAATTTTATTTTATTAACAATATAATTATAATTTATTTTATTATTATTTTTTTAAATAATATTCTTCGTTACTCATTTTCCAAGATAAAAGTGAAGAATTGCGACGATGCTTCTGTGACGCGTATAATTAACAATGGAAAACGTCAGTTACCTGGAGCGATTTCTTGCTGATACTTGGCACGATATCGCGAATCTTGTACGTGAGTCCGCGGTTTACATAGATCATGCAGCAACGGAGTGTCTGCATTGGCATACTGGTGGCAGGATGTACTCTTTCCTTAAGGATGCTGGTGCTGTGTCCGTTTACGAACTGGCCATGTACAATTTTCGTGTACGTGAAAGTATAATATTCCTGTCTCATACTTATAGGATTGTTAGTTTATTCCGATCTACCCTGTTACAGTATGTCAAAGTGCAGAATTGCAAGAAGGCGACTATTATTTCAACCTCTACCAATCCAGCTTTTTATCAACGTACCGTTAAGATGATAATGGAGAAGAATGCGTTTAATAGTTGTACAATTGTCACCGCTGCACATCCAACTGTACTGAGTTACGAGGACGCAGTTCCATTAGAGGATAGAATGGATTACATTAAATTAAAGAGAGATGTGAAAAGTTGGATGAGCACCAATCAACAGTCGCAAGTAAGCAGTTGTTCCCTATTTACATTTAATAGTAACGTCTAGTCACAGAGAACTTAATTCCAGTTTTAAATTTTGAGTTTATTATATATGAAATTGACTTTGTCGTTATTAATTTGTAGGACTGTTTAGTGACGATATTATTTCGACCAATTTTTATTACTTCAATCGAAGATGATCTATTTGTGACGCCGCCTTTTGGTGATCTATTATCACCTTTAAATAGTGAATTACTGAAAAATTCAGAGTGCGCTGTCGATCATCTCGTAAGCTTATTTAACAGTTTGTTCGCATATTTGAACTTGAAAGAAGACATTTACTCGATGGGAAAATTCAGCGAGTATGTTGCTGAAAAATTAGAAACACTACCGGCAGCTGTTAATCGTAAAAATGTAAGTATTTTGTAATAAAAGACTAATTATAATCATAATTAAAAATAAGAAAGATGAAAATAGGTATTAGAATATATATATTAAATATTTTACTTTAATATAATTTATTGTATACAATAGAATTTAATTGGTACAAAGAGAAAAGGAGTATCTTTAATCTTTGTCGATAGAGCATTAGATCTTTGTACTCCTACTAGTAATAACACTGAATCGTCGCTAGCCAGGATACTGTGTACTTTACCACATTTGCCTCATCACTGCAACGACGTCGCTATAAATATGTCTTCTCTATTTTGCGGTTCGCAGGTACAACAACTCACAAAAAATTAACACAATATATATATTTTTCATCTTAATATTATGAACAATATCTCTTGTAGAATACCATAGAAATATAATTATTACATGAAAATTGCAAGTTTTTCTTTTTCAAGGAATTTTTCGAAGTACCAGGATGCTTGGCCAGTAAGGACAAAAACTTGATGAATATATTAATCATGAAAAAGCAAAAAGAGGTGTTGATTGCTACGAACAAAATACTCATCGATATATTTTCGACAAAAGAAAATCTAAAACCAAAACTAGCAACAAGGATTTCCGCGCGCAGTCTAGAAAAATTTGTAAATAAATTGAAAGATACAGATAATCTTGATGTTACAACGGAATCAAGCAAAAAGCTTCAAGTATGTGTTCCAATGACGGAATATCATTGTATATGATTTTTTTTTATCACGTACACAAAATTTAGAAAATTACTCGGATGAATACTTATACTTTATCGCAGGTGGTGCTAGGAATCATACAAGCCTTAACGTCAGAGAAAACTTCCCAATTAGATTTGCTAATTAGTCTCGAGAAACTGGTATTGCAAAATATAGCTGTAAGTCGTGACTCTACGAGCGTGCTTGGACAAGTAATTATCAAATTTAATAGTTTGTATTTTTCGATACTTGTATCTTATTATATCTTATTTCGTTACGATATACATATATGTACATATATGTATATATATATATATACTCTTCTTCGGAATACTTTTAGTTTAGCAATATAATACGAACTCGCGAGAAACGAGGTCTGGATACAGATAATATATTGGCGCTCTTGGTGCATATTTACGCGCTTGCCGGAAAGGAGATAAAATTCTCTCCTCAACAAGAGGAGCAATTGAAGGAAGCTATCACTGATGCTGTATTTGAGGATATTGCAAAATTAAACAAGAATCCGGTCAACAATAAGATGTCAGTGTATCAACAAACTTTATTACTTTTTGGTTCGTAAAATGTTATACTACAAGATAGAGAAATAACAAATTTAAATAACAAATAATCAAGAATATCGAAGGATTCTATTATTCGTAAAAAATATTTTAATACCGCAATAATACAGAACAAAAATCTGTAAAAAAGATTTATTTATTTAGTTTAATATATAAATTTAGTTTTCGAAAATATATGAAGTACATTTAATTAAAAATTTAAAATAATCGCGGGTTAGTAAGAGCCAGAACGCGGATGGATGATCCCCCCTGGGCCGCGTTCGAGAACATCACCCGTGTGCACACGAGCGTCATTCTATTTTTGTTCAACTTTCAGTAAATAACAAAGATAAAACGGCGCTCGGTGCACACGGGTGACATTCTCGAACGCAGCCCTGGAAAGACGAAGGTGAGAAAAATATCGGGGCGAAGTCGCTGAATCGGGAATCGAACCCGAGTCGGCAAGCGAAAGACTCGGGTTCGATCCCTGATTCAGCGACTTCGGCCCGGTATTTTTCTCGCCTTCGTCTCTCCAGGAGGGTAAACAAGGGTTATTATAAATCTTGAATTGAAATTATTTTAAAAATCTTGGTATAGGACCAAGTAAATTTTGTGCCTTGTATACATAATTAGTTTCATAGAAAACTTATTTTTCTATGAAACTGAGGCACTACTATTCGCGTTCTGGCTCTTACTAGTCTGCGATTATTTGAAATTTCATTCGAGAGCCTTAATTTTTTAAAATTGACATTTAATTAAGATAAATTATCTCATAGAAGAAAGCTTTGGTAAAAGTATAACGACACCCAAAATATTAAATTAGGCTATCTGGTTGTATCTCTTTCTTTCTCTCTTTCTCTTTGTAATATATTAAATTATATAAATTTATTCTACAAAAATATAGATTGTATCTATATAGATCGATGATATTTAATTATATATATCAAAGTACATAAAATATAAATATCAAAGTATTTTTAATCATATCAATCTATTGTATTTAAATTAGGTGTCGCTGATGACCAGTCCATAAAAGAAACATCTGCGAAAGTAGCAGAACGCATCATGAATATTTTACACGAAATAGCACAGCAACGCGCATTTCTACACGATTACACGTATGAAACTTTATTCGTATCACATTTCTAATTTATTTAGAAAATTTAAATAGATAAACTCTCCAAATTAAATGTATATAGTGCTTCTAATTCTTATAACGTTAATTTAAATTAATTCATAATTTGTTTCCAATTGTCTTTTATGTTTTCAATATCGCTTCATTATCGTTATTCAATACGCTTTACATTTGCTAAAATATAATGCGGTGACTCAGTGATTTATATCTTTTACAGCTCTTTAATGTCCAAATCAAGTTCTCAAGAGATTGTTCAACGTGTTGGGATCTTGCAACAATTATTGACGGACATATTCCATCCAGACAGATATGAAATTTCTGATTTACAACAGAGATCGCCTTCATTACTTTCAGCTGGATTCAAGTAAGTTAAGAAATACACTAATCTTTTTTTTTTAATTATAAAAAAGTTTCGAAGACTAATTTGATATTTACATTTACAGTTTATTTTCCAAAGGAAGAGTGAAACATCATCCATGTGACAATGATTGGGTTATCATTTACATTATCGGAGGTGTGACACCGGAAGAAGTAAGAGAAGCTAAAGAAAATATATCGTTACTCAATCCAAATTGCCAAATAACATTAGCAGGTTCGAGATTGTTAAATCCATTAGACATAGTGGACAAATTTCTCCTCTCATCAATCGATTATTAATAAAAAATGTAGTTTCACTTTTGATATATTATCAAAGAATCCATTTTATACCAGAATCAGAGATCGTATAACGAATCTGTTTTGTATCATTTATAGATTGTACATGGCATATAAATTCACGAACTACAAAACTTTTACGAAGTTGTAGCCTGTAATTTACACCCGTTTCCTCTAATAGATCGGTGCGTTTAGGGCTATTTAGACTAGTTACAGGCATTTCATTTTGGGACATCGATTCATCCCATCTTGTGTAAACTGTCATATCGCAAAACTGAGATATCCGAGCTCGAATAATTCTCACCAAGCTCTTTGCATATTGATCCATACCGAATATACCTTTCTCTCTCCTCATTTGCCAATAGTACGCCAATATATTATCTATAGCTAGCAGAGCAATTCTTTCATCGCTAAGAAGCTCGTCCTCAAGCGCATGTAGAGACAGGTGTAACTGATCGTTGTTGCAACAATCGATTACTGTCAAGTTTTCCAGAGACTTATTCACAATTAGGTCTACCGTCTCGACCGGTAGCTGCACACCAGCGGTTTGGTACGCGGTGTGTATCATGATGGTCATGAGTGCAGCAAGTTTTCTCATCTGGACCTGACCGAATGTATCGATCAATATCGCACAGGAGTTGCATCCATCGATCTTAATTCCTTTATACCACACGGGCAATATGCACTTTGCTATAAATTGACACAATAGCAAGGTCTTTCCGGTGGACGAGGCTCCGACGATCTCTACGACGCTTCGGTCGTCGATCTCACTGGAGAATATAGTCCGGTCAAGGTTAACCGAACGTCGTTTTTCCCTGAATCTCGATAATAACTCTAATCCACCTTCGGAATGGAACTGCATTTTATTATTAACGATTAACGATTAACGATTAACACATTTGTTCGTTGACTCCTACATCAAATATCAAATATTATCATTAACGATCGATATAATTTAATTTTCGTTAATCGCCATACAATCTTAAGGTACCTTTACATGGTAGCGTTAAGCCCGAATCACACTAGCGACTCGCGGCTGGTCAATTTCTTAAGGCTTAGAGCTTAAATCACTATTGTAGACCGACACTTAATATTTTAGTTATAAGATTTGTAGAGATTTCAACAAAGTTCTTCAAGACTCTAAAAATCCTCTAGATAATAGCCAATGAGTGTGTTTTGGTAAGACACCGCTACCGTAGCGCTACAGCTTTTTCGCTAAAATTGTAGCGGTAAAGTTAGTAAAACTGAGTATAACTCTACATAGCCTCCAAATAGTATTTAATTGCTAACAGTCGCGTTCGCTAATTATTTTAAATGATTTGAATAATGGAAAATATTGAAGATATCGTAGCGCTACAGCAGCAGTGTCTCGCCGGAACGCTCCCTTGTAGCGCTACAGTAGCGCTACTGTAGCGGTGTCTTACCAAAACACACTCATTGGCTATTATCTAGAGGATTTTTAGAGTCTTGAAGAACTTTGTTGAAATCTCTAGAAATCTTATAACTAAAATATTAAGTGTCGGTCTACAATAGTGATTTAAGCTCTAAGCCTTAAGAAATTGACCAATCACGATCAAGTATGAGGAGAATACATGTATATATAACTTTTGTCTTTATATTTATTATTATTTTTATTTTTTGCGTTTTTGTCGTAGTATCGTCTGCAGCTATCAACAAAACCATAGTGAAATATAGCACCGAACTTATTACCAAAAACTAGCATGCTAGCACGCACAGCAACACGCAACACATAATATTTCAAGTTGCATAGCCATTATAATTGCTAGCAAAATGTCTCGCATGCGATCTTAAATGCAAAATCGTACCGTGTGCCGCAGGCTTAAGATTTTAAGCCCTAAGTGCCGGTCTACAATAGGTGATTTAAGCCTTAAACTTTAAGAAATTGACCAATCATAGCCAAGTATGAGAAGAATACTCGACTGTGATTAGTCAATTTCTTAAGGCTTAGGGCTTAAATCATCTATTGTAGATCCGGACCACACAGATAGTAACTAACTAGCATTCTTTGGTGATTTTACAGAAATGCTGCGCTGCCCATGAAATAGGTTTTCTGCAGTGTTTTATATCGTTAATCTCAATTTCAATATTAATTAAAATATAACCGAATGAGTAATTATTATTATTATTTTTTTTC